ATTACGAACAGATCCAACGTCATCAGATAACACTGTTCGATATATATCGCTTCAGTTTCAAATGTTCTGTTCGTATATAATTAAATCTCTCCAACATACACCAAGATTCTTCGAATTGTTCCCCAACAAATGGACCTCGTTTATCCCGTAATTATGTAGAATTAAGTTGTTCCAGCGCGGAGGAGCGGGCACACGATCAAGAACGTGCTCGCGACCGTGAAAAAAAGCACGGACTATCCTCTCGAGTTTACGATGTTCTGGCGCCTATGCCGAGGAAGGCATCCAAGCTGAACCAGTCGATCCTTCCTTCCTTCTTTTCTTTCATTTTTCTATCCCCGGGGCCCACAGGAGGAGAAGACATCTCGCGTGCAACGCGTGCACCTCCCCTTTGAGATGCGCTGGCCTTATGCACCCTCGACACCGGCTATTTATAGATCTCGGACATTAACTGGCCGAGTGTGCTTGTGCTTGCTCGCGTGTTGCTTGTTCGCGCGAGCATAACGCCTCGGTTACCCTGGAACTCACCGATCATTATTTCATCTGCTACCATTTTGCCAATTTTTCAAACTCCTTCGAGCGTATTTTCACGAGGGAGGATAATCTTAGTAATTTTATGGAAATTTTATATAGCAATGCTTTTTTTTTTTTCAAAATATTATTCATAAAAGAATGCAAGTGCTTAGTCTTATGCAGTTGAATAGACGAACTTAACGAACCTATCTTACATCTCACAATTTCAAGACACTTGAATCGTGTCAGTGACAATGATAAATGATTCGAACAGAATTCTACAAATAACCTTAAAATCAGAAAAATCCTAGCCCCTTTGAAAGGCGCAGTCATCGAAGCGTTAAAAATAGAAAATACCTAGTCATTGAAATTCCCAAGAGACGTACAATACGGCGTACAGAAAATAACAGAAAACCCTTCATCCTTGGGAACGTAGCGTTATCGCTTCGTGCCGGTTATTTTCTTCCAATAACGTCCGAGAAGAAGGAAGATTGACTGGAATAATTGCATAATTCATCTGCAACAAGAAGGGAAACAGAACCTGATGTAGGATTTGCCGCGCTCGGGATACCAGTCCGGCAAGGACAAGTCCGGTGTTCCTCTTCTTCAGGTTCATCTTGCTATTTATAGATCCTAAATATTAGCTAGAACGTACCTGTGTTGGTGAACTGGTACTCGTTACACTTCTTCAGATCGGTACCGCGAACTCGAGGAGGCCTTTATCCTCGTAATTACCAACGCAACTACCACCTGGCCGGTTTCTTCTGATACAAAATCCATCCACGAGAATCCGCTTCATCCGCCGTCACTATTTATAGATCCTAGATCGTTACATGCTGTACGTGAGGAAATGTTGGCCACCAAGTGGAATATCACGATTTCCTCAGACTTGACCATGATCCATGATCATCGATTTTCAACGAAATTACTGTCCTTGTCTCTCGACTTCCTTCTATTCGAGGACTCGCGATTTATTTTCAGGATAACCTTCCACGTTATCAAAAATAAATTAATTAGAATTTTATTTAAATCCACCTTTTCCCACGAGGGTACCAATCATCCTTTTAATGCGATTGCATTTAAATTTTTCTTTTCATTCTTATTACAAGATTACTAATAATTATCCCTATCAGCAAGAACGGTTCTACCCGTTATTTCTGGACGAAGATAGGATAGGAGAGGAGCCGGAAAACGCGTCTTTATCAAGAATGTCGCCGAAAGGGTATTTTATCGCGGAGTTTATTCACGCGTAGTCGTCCGCCTGCAGCAGGGGGGCAGGTTTATAAATAGCCCTGAAGAGTTGCATGCGGATTGCACGGGGCGCCTAGTACTCGATGCCGATTACTCCTGGCGCCAGCCACACCGGACTCCTCCTGGTTTCTTTAATGGCCGACAGTTAATGGGAAGTTAATGTCCGCCGTGTGTTAACTACGCGACCGGTCTCCTTCTTTCCTCTTCTACTCTTTATCTTTATTTCATTCTATTTCTTTGCTACTACCCTTATTTGCTGAACCTTTCATCCGTCTCGCGATGTCCTTTTCATTCTATCCTACAAGATTTTACAAGAAACCTTTATTGTTTCTCTAGAATTTTTCCAAATATTCTAATTAATTAAATAGATACGTGGATGTTTAAAAATTTCATCAAACTCGAGTCGAGGATAGAATAACCTAGAAGCATCACAAACGCTATTAGCTATGTTGAATATTTTTATCGCAAAAAATTGCTGTTAGTCCAAGTCCTACGAGTGTTTGCCCGGATGGATTTCTATTTTCTGTCGTCCTTTGACCGAGAAGAAACGCCGCGGCAGAGGAATTCCTCGCAAGGACTCCGTCGGCGGTGGTCGACGTTGATGATGGATTCGTGATCACCAGTTTCTATTTGCAGTTTCTGTCGTGAGAACATCGTCATCGTACCAGGAATAGAACCTGCTTCGTGGTCGATGCACTTAGCGAGAAATCGAGCCTTTTCTGCACCGTAATATCGATCCTGTTGCTTTTTCCACTCGTTTTTATCTATTCAACTACCGACTGGTTTCGTACAAGCATCTTAAATAATTATACGTTTCAAGTATTTGTTAAATGTCGAATATTTGTTAATTTGTTGAATAGTCAATGGCGATTAGTCAGAGAGATCGTACGGGCAAAAATACGAGACCATTGATGATTGCAGACATACGACACGTGCTCAGTCTATCTTCGGGTTTCCTCTCCGTTTCGTGACATCCGCTTTGTCACATATTCGACGCGTCGCGTCGTTACGCACCGGCGTCGACGCGTGTGCAACTTGTATGCAAATCTGTTACATCCATTAACTCCAGAACGGCGGACCACGGAGAGAGCCCCAGTTTTAATTTAATATCAAAAAAGATTCATCAATTTACGAATGAAGCTACTAATTACTACTCCAAGGGCAAACGCTCAAGGGTGTTCGTTAATTATCTTACGCAAACAACGAGTTTACCATGCCAAAGAAACTCCTCGTGAATTTTCTGATCGCTGTAAACAATCGTGAGAACAATCTGAAAGAAGAAAGAGGAAACGCGTGATTTCTGGACTTCGCGTACGAAACTAATATGTCGTTTCCTGCGTGCATCAGCTAGGTTCGTTCGTTAGCGCTACCATAATCGCACCTTCCAAGCGATAGTATTTCCTGCGGTACAACCAGATACATCGCGTTTTATGGTTACCATCGCGCAAACGAGCTGAATCACGGGGGAAGCTTGCCGTTCTTATGGTACCCTTCGAGTTTTCCACTCGGCTGCTCTCCTCGAGGAGCGAAAACATTTTTGCAAGCCTAGTTTAATCTCTCGTGAGAATTTCAACAATCACCGCATGCCATAAAGGAGAAGAATGATTTTTCCTGTGAATTACTTTCTGTTTCTCGAATAATTGGTCGCCATGAAAAGAATGCAAGGACAGTCGTGAAAAGGAAAGTGTGTTTTTCTAATTTGTATAATAGAATCTATTTAGAAATAATTCGTGTTAATTAACTGCTGAATTCATTACCAAAACTGTCTTGGTAATTAAACGAAAGTTACCCTTCTGTTCGCGCATTGAAGTCTCCCGATACTTTCATGGTCACCGTGGCAAGAGAATTACTTACCGAGCTGGCTGCGAAGTATAGTTCCTTTTCGCGTTCAGAAATGACCAAGAAGCACGGTGCTAACAAACGTTGAATTAAGAAGAGAGTCTCAGTTTGCTCAGCAATTAGCTGGCCTAGTCCTGTCCGAGCGGAGTTCATCGACGAACGTGTGGCGGGTTCGCGTACTAGACCTGTAGTCGGTTGCTTTTTTGAAAAGTACCTACGGAGGAAAAAAAGTGCTTTCGAGAAGCACCGTCGTAGGTTCAACGAACTTTGATTTTTCGCGTCTCGAGATCGCTTCGAGGAAGAACGAACACTGTCGCCTCCGAGTGGCCGCGAACACGCGGAAGAGACAATTTTTATGGGGAACTACCTCTCGAAACGAAGTTCATTCTTCAATTTATTCCTTCCTGTAAAGAGCGAGGGAAAATAAGGAATTTTCAATGGACTTGCCTTACGGGGTTCTCAAAGTTTCTCTTCTCATTTCTCCATTTGCACAATTATCATATTTAATTACGCGAAATGTGAAATGCAGGCCGTCGATGACCCACATCGCAATCCTTACGATAAACCCTGTACCACTTTACAATCACATCGCTTCATCGGGTTCTCCTTAAACTAAAAAATAATGAAAATCATCGATGATCTCGTTAAGTCAATCATCAGAATTTCCTCTCACCGCTGGTTTATGGAGATACTATTACCGCGGGATCATCGAACCGGGGGAGATCGTTCTTTGGAAGTGGAGGAACCGTTTCATCGACTTTCGAATTCTTTAAGGATCTATGCAGAACAGAGGAAGGCTTAAGTTCGAAGTCGTCTCATCTATCTACGATCTCGTAATGATCGTTCTGTACCGTTACTCTCGGTCAAGGTTTCCGACGAGATCGAATTGGAATATCTCGTTTGCCGCGGTCACCGATCCTTCCGCGTCCTTCCTCTTCTTAAAGCTGCTTACCTTTCCCTCCTCGACGGTTGTAAACAACGATCTAGGAAGTTAACGTTCCCGATTATCGATGCCCCGCGATCACGAAGGACATGTACTTGAACGAAAAGGTCGAATAGCAACGTCTGCCTTGAACTCTTCAGGAATTTTAATACCACGGATCGAGATAATTAACACCTCGAGCGTATGCTAAATTCGTCAGAAGTCCCGCTAAGGCATACTATTTTATTTTTAGCTTGATTTATTATGTTTGCAATGTTACGTTCTTCCTGTTAGCTACACCTTACGCTATTTAACACATCCTAGACCGATTATCTACCATATGTGTTTCGTGAAGAAATTCCCATTATCACCGATGCTCAAATGCAAGAGTAAAGTGATAAAAGAAATTTTCTGTAATTTAAAATTCATATTGGTTTCAAGTTACCTTCGAGTATTTGGTTAAATTATGATCCATGAATTATGATTCGATACGGGCTTTAATATTTCCTTATGGACATTGATGAATTACAAGAGGATAGAAAAAATAGCCACATGAAGCGGTATTAACAAGAACGGTTCTTGTTTAGTCTGACGCAAGATTATGACAAATTGCTGCGCAAGAAATCGATTAAGATGTTACGGATAACGGGATATCTTTAAGCGTGGAATTATTAAACAAACTCGTTCGTTTGATTTCTATTTTAATCCGTTCATGTTCGAGGTACCGTTTCTCCAAGATTTCCTTTTTCCTGGAAAATGAACAACCATAAAATTTCAACGACCAGACGAATTCCTAATACCAGTTAACTTACCGTTTCCGTTGGTTTTAATCCCGCAAGAAACCCACCATCCTGGCACCGTGGTGGTATTAATCCAGGAACCAGGAGAACCTCCTGGAATTAGCAAGGGGGAAAAAAAAATGAAAAATGATCCCGTGCAATCGGACAAAGAAGTCCGCGCGTCGAGTATAGTGATTGCGGCACACGCTCGAGGGATATGAACGAGCGAATAGGTTGAGGGTCGCGAGTGGCCGTTGACCCTGCGTATGTACCCGCGCGAAGCGGAATGGCGAGCCTAGGTACCGACCACCTAGACAGACTAGAGTCTACATTGGTAATAGCTTCTCTAGTCTACCGACCTTCCTCCACTCGTAAAAAGAAATATTTATGGACACCGCACTATGGCCCATGTCCCTTCTGTGTCCCTTCTTCACCATTCGATTACAGGTTTGGCTGGAGCAATGTTAGTTGTTCTTAAAAGTCTGAAAATAATATGAAATACGAAATTAATTTAAAATTAAGACTCTCTCCATGGTCCGTCGTTCGAGGGGTGATTAATAATTGCGTAAGAATTATTTTTCAAATGTCATTAAATGGAAATGTGAATAATTTTTACCTGCAACTTTCTTCTCCATGGATTTCCCAGAATAATTAGCAATCACCGACAGAACGAACAACCTTTAAATGAATCTTGACCTAGAAAAACACGACAATCTAATCGTACCTTTATCGCAAATTACTTGGATCTTTCAGAGAAATCTTGGAAACCTTGGGTCGAATCCTCCTCTCTGATGTCAGATCAATTATATTTTTCATCGATGTCATCGACGTGCTGAAACAGCAATCTCTCACGTGTTACGTCATCGTATGTTGTTGCAGTATCCAGCAGGTGCATCCAGCGATCTTTTGCCGGAGAACAGAGGAACTGGTTACGCGGTTGCTGGAACTTTACCACCGAACGCGGAAAACATTTCTCCAGCCGCGAAAGATCTGCTGAAACGACTTCTACAGCCTGACCCCTGTCTCAGGTTGAGGTCTCTGTTGAGTCTGCAGAGAATTGCCTTCTACATGGGTTATAATCTGCAGAGTTACATGTTGAAGAAGGTGAGAATAATCATTTATTTGTATGAAAATACAAATAACATTGATCTAATTATATTCTTGTCCCACAGGAATCTCCGTTTCTACTGTTAGGACGAAAGGTGCAAAATCAGGAGCGAAGGATCAAGGAATTCTCGACTTTCGATTTTTCTTTGTCTGATAGTGTCTACGGCGCCGATGATCGATGATCTCGTGAATCTCTAGTACTTACTTTACCCTTAGTCATTTTAGCTGATGCGAAATCATCCTGATTGGTGATACATAAATCTCAGGATTCGAAGCTCTATGTCTTCTACTATTTTTCTATTCTTATTAGTTTGTTGTTCGACCAACTCTATCGTACAACGTCGTCGATGCCATCCATTAGTTTAAGTCAAGAATAATTTGATAAACTTTTACGTAGTCGCCATAAAATCAATATTTTTTCACCGGTTTAAGTCAAACAGTGTTATCGTATGTGAAAAGTTTGAAAGGTTTTTAGTTGCTTTTAAATGTTGACTAAACTTTTCGTGCTAAGAAATGATGTATACTTCAAACTACTGTATTTCTGTGTTGTAGCGCAAATTAGTTCTTGCGCAGGTCTATTTGAAGCGTTAATACTTCAAAATGTACTTGAATAATAAAGAAAATTAAGCAGAACAAATAATGACTATTATTTATACTGGAAAGAAATGTAATATAAGAGAATTAGGCAATTAACGAAGTCATAGAGGCACTCTGCAATGATTAAAGTCAAAATTAAATTCCGCGGAAAAGTAGTTTCAGACGCGACTCCAGCGCCATCTATACAAAAATAGCTGAAACTACTCGATAAGTTACCAATTGGTTTACCGACTTATCGGCTGAACATTCTGCAGTCGGTAACCCTTTATCATAAAATTACAAAAACTATTTGTTTATTAAACTAATGATTCAATGAAATATTAACGAAGTTTTCTACAGTTAAAACACATTGACAAGTAGTTTTTTCATTTATTAGTAAGTAGCGCAACAAAGTTACCGACTTTCGGATGATAAGTCGATAAGTCGGTAAGTAGTTTCCGCTACCTTCCGATAGAGGGCGCCAGTATATTCAGAAAAGCGATCGATAACTTGTTGAATGTTTTAGCTGAATAAAAGAGGTGATAGAGAAAAAGGAAAAGAAAGAGAGTAAATTAAATAAACTCCGGAAAGAAATTAGAGGACGATTATTATAATGGTTGGCCTTTTTAATACGGACCTGATTTTACAATCTTTTGATTCTACAATATCGCCATACTTTTACAATCTTTCGCTTGAGTCTCTGTGTGTGTGTGTGTGTGTGTGTGTCCCCTATTAGTCGCCTCTTACGACAGGCAGGGGATACCGTGGCCATATTCAAGCCCCCTGAGCCACAGGGGGATATACTGACCTGATATCATCTTGGAGTGTCAGAGACCCCGAAGCACCAGTGACATTCTTTGCATATAGAAATTATGGCATCCGGGGTGTCAGGGGCCCTGATGCATCACTGGTGTTGCCTATATACAGCACTGATATCTTCTTGGGGTTCCAGGGACCCCGAAGGTATACTATCTGTATATCGGTATTAAGGCATCCGGGGTTTCAGGGACCCCGATGCATTACTGGTGTTGCCTATATACAGCACTGATATCTTCTTGGGGTTCCAGGGACCCCGAAGGTATACTATCTGTATATCGGTATTAAGGCATCCGGGGTTTCAGGGACCCCGATGCATTACTGGTGTTGCCTATATACAGCACTGATATCTTCTTGGGGTTTCAGGGACCCCGAAGGTATACTATCTGTACACCGGATTTACGGCATCTGGGGTTCCAGGGACCCCGATGGTATACTATCTGTACACCGGAATTACGGCATCTGGGATTCCAGGGACCCCGAAGGTATACTATCTGTACACCGGTATTATGGTATCCGGGGTTTCATGGACCCCGATGTATCGCTGACGTTGCCTGTATACCGACCTGATATCATCTTGGGGTTCCAGTGACCCCGGAGGGATACTATCTGTACACCGGAATTACGGTATTCGGGGTTCCAGGGACCCCGAAGGTATACTATCTGTACACCGGTATTATGGTATCCGGGGTTTCATGGACCCCGATGCATCGCTGGCGTTGCCTGTATACCGACCTATCATCTTGGGGTTCCAGGGACCCCGATAGTACAGTATCTATACCGGTATAATGGCATCCGGGGTTCCAGGGACCCCGAAGGTATACTATCTGTACACCGGTATAATGGCATCCGGGGTTCCAGGGACCCCGAAGGTACACTATCTGTGCACCGGAATTTTGGCATTCGGGGTTCCAGGGACCCCGAAGGTACACTATCTGTGCACCGGAATTTTGGCATTCGGGGTTCCAGGGACCCCGAAGGTACACTATCTGTGCACCGGAATTTTGGCATTCGGGGTTCCAGGGACCCCGATGCGTCGCTGGCGCTGCCTGTATATCGACCTAATATTATATCTTGGGGTGTCTGGGACCCCCTAATCCTCGAAAAACAAAGGCGCTAAGTTGTGTAGCTTCCACCGCTTCTGTATAGATGATGCCAGGATCGAATTTTAAAAATACTTAATTTATGGCTTATAATTTATGGTTCAAAATACTTAATTAATAGAATACAATAGAAATATGATTTTTATCAAGACCTAATCAAAACTTGAACATTAAATACCCCGTATATTTAAACTCAATATATTAATAGCATCGGTATTTGAACTCGCATCGATAAAATTTTCATTGTAAATAAGAAATTGGGTCATTAGCCAGAAACGAGTTACATTAAAACAATCAAGAAGGTCACATGGCTTGATCCATTTCAGTCTTGCAACATAATCACGCACACGTTTCGAGACTGAACACAACACACGTTGCTTGATAGTTTCACGGTGACGTAAGACGTGCCATACGTTAGGTACGGAACACTAATGAAATACAGATTAGGCTGAACATTTTTGCTAACTTATTTTCACCCATTTGGCCTTGGAACCTTTCACCCTATAATAATGCGTGAAATTTTACAAACCATCGAGCATGTGTATAGAAATTTACATATGTGTAATATATCAAGTTTCTATTAAGGTGGGCTTGGACCTTTTACCATTCTATGATTCTAAAATCCTAAGATACTAAAATTTAAAAATTCTAAAGTTCTAAAATTCTTTAAGTCTAATATTCTAACATTCGAAAATTCGAACATTTCACATTATTAATAAAAGCTGATAGACCTGGCTAACACCCCCCAAATAAATTTAGTTACGACAGTGCATTCTTTTCTAAACATTATAAGATCGATTTTCTGTTCAATATTCATCGTCGCTTCCTGATTTCCAAACGGATGGCCGTTCTAATTCAACGAGGATCCTGAACACCCGTGATCGATTAATTAAACGGCGAGATAGCATGGTGTCGCTCGAAGTCTCCTAATTAATCAAGCAGTCGGGCGAACAGCAGCTACACGATCTTATCGGTTAAAGTACTACCATTGTACTATAGGACAACGGTTAAGTCCAGTCAACTCTTTAGTGGAAACGAACCTGATGGCCCACAGCTCGGTGTCGAGCAAGCATTGATCGATGGATCATTGATCGATCCGACACCTAGTTTCCTTCCAGTGTCGCCAGTGACTATATATGCGAAAAAGACTCTCCTCAAAGCTTCTTTGATCCTTCAAGATATTTGTAGATCATTCTAATAAAATATTTTAACCAACTTTTTTAAATAAATTATGTAAAGAAATTTCTTTAAAATTATTTCCCATTGATTTTCCACATTAATTGTTCCCTCTGAATTCCCAGGAGTAGGATGAAATATGTTCCATTTCAAGTTTTAATTCGAACCATTCATCAAAGCTCGAAGGGACCTTCGCTAAATTCGATTACATTAAACGTACGAGGAAAGCTGTTCTAAATCAGCTTTTCTTCTCACTAATTGCTATGAGGTCTCGCAAATTGAATTAGCACGTACGAGACACGCGATTCGTGGTCTGCAGATTTTCTGACACCCGATAATGCGATCGGCAATTATAACATGCAAACGTAAACTCGGTCATGGTCGCTGAATCCTAATCGAATTATCTTCGTTCTGCCTGGAAATCCGAAGCATCGTTCTCCATTCGACCTTATATTTTTCCGACAAACTGACATTGAAGAGTGAGCTGTCTTTTCTATCAACTATCGCTACTGTCTTTTGTGAAATTCTCTTAGAAAACCGATCGTTGTATTGGAAATAAAATCATCGAATTTGATTTATTTAGAAGCAATTTCAATTTCCGACCCAAGGGTCCTTCAAGGTTCGATGACCTGGGGCCGCAGAAATCTAAACCCAGTCCTGCTTGATGTAAGTTGTTTTTTTAAAAGATATGAAAAATTTAGTATCAGAATATTTGAAGTTAAGCCAGTTTCATGTGTTGACACTTGAACGACCTCGCTCTCAATGCATCACTGCATGATGCACATGCACTTCACTCTTCGCAATTGCATGCTCATTTCCCATTGGCAGTCGTGACGTGCTCGATTTATGGTCTACTATACTGCTCTGTCGATTCGCATCTCTGAGACTGCAATTTCTTAAGTTCCATGACATCCACATAACTTACCATAGTTTGATTAAATCAAATCTCAGCTCTTCGATATTTACCTTCAGGATTCTATTTTCTAAATTTCATTTTCTTTTCTATAATTTATCAATATGTATCAGTGCCTTGAAAATTCGCAGAGTTTACACAAGAAGACTCGGTGGAGGCATCAGGTGCACGGTTTTCCACCGCGATGGCTCGTGTTCGCTTTTCGAAATCGTTAATCCACCGGTCGAAAACGATCGATGCAGCTGTGTAAAACGAGAGCCTGGTCCCTAGATCGTCTTACGATACCTTCACCCGGCCGATTTGTGTCTTGTTTCGCAACGGCGCGTTTAAATGAATTCGTAGACAGATCAATAGATATAGAAACGATGTAAAATGTTGCATAGATATTGGAAAGCTTCGAAATTCCGAAGAATGGAAAGAAGAAGGCATGGAACAGTGTGCTTCGCTTTGGAAGATAGAAGACTACAATGAAGAAGATACGAAATTGCATGGTTAACGTAGTGAACTTCGAGGGCAGAAATCCAATTGAGATGGAATTGGTTTTATGTAACACAACGAGGTGGAAACCGTATAGACGAGGATCACAAAGGATGCATAGTTAGCATCTGGTCGGCGTTCTCCAATTTCAAGGTTACATGTACTTGTTACATAAAAGTGTTTGCGACCTGAACAACTCTTCTGATAGATTAGTTTAAGTTTCTTCCACTTAAACAGAAATGTAGAAAATGAAATGAGTTACCTCCCTGATGCAAAGGGTTAAGTGTCAAATCATTTTTATAAATCAACGATCGAATACTTGCCCGCAATACATATTTTTCAATGAAACAACGCGACAAGAAAATTACGAGCGGCGAAACTCGAAAAACAAAAACTATGAAACCGGGGAAATTGCTATCGATAAGCTAAAACGAATGAAAAAACACGTCGATCAACAAGCAAATCGAGCCTCGAGATAAATATTTTTTAGCGGGTCTCGCTGAAAATTCCGCTGTTTTTCACCGACAGCCAACGCACTGTCGCGAATAAATATCGAGCAGAAAATATTTCGACGAATATATCACGGGCAAACGATCGCGTCCTAACGAAATATCATTTGCAGACGTGTATCACGGTCCGATCTCGCTTGAATTAATGCGATACTGTCGCGATATCGTCGCGAACGTTTCAACCGGACGCGAATAAATTCCTCGATGCGTTCTCCCCTCGCCGATTTCGTTCGAACTTCGAATCGAGAATAATTCACGATTTGACTGTTTGCGGAAAATATCGTCATTTCCGTAACGATGAAAATAAGGAAATTGCTCGAAAAGAAAATAATTATTGCGAGGCCGGAGAAATGTTCAGTTCTGTTACCACGTAAGGAGCACAAAATGATTCTTCGAGCTCCAAACAAAAAACGTTCTCCATCATTTTTATTCAGCAGCTTTTTTATTGTTTTAATTATAAAGAAGTAACAAAGAATAATAATTTCATGATATTACCATACTTTCTCTCTCTGTCGTTCGCGCGCGCACACTCTCCCTTACACGCTCTCTCTGTCTCTATGTATTTATATCAATATTATTTAATAGATATACTCATTCACGTATTGAATATCGTGGCAAATATATAGATAAAGGTTTCATCTAACGTTCACACGTCGTGGATAGCGACCGTGCAACAGAGACGCGCCTCTTTCTCCCCCTATCATTCTATCCGTCAACAACCCCACGACCCCGCGTGCCTCCATTTATATGGCTCGATCATCGAGATTCCTCCGATACGTATCGGATAATATTCTCCCGTCGTTTTCTTCGCCTCGCCGTTTCTCTTTCCCTCTCGTATATTCTTCCAACCGAAAATGAGAAAAGAAACAGCCATCGTCGAGATGGGATAGAGTGCCGGTGAGGTAAGAAATCGGAGATTCGTCGAGTTCGCGGAGTTGAATCGGAAGTAGCGCGCTGATCGAGGCGCAGCACGGAAGTGTCAGTTTCGGTCGAGATTACGTCCCGACGATCATCGACACTTCGAACGGACTTAATCACTCGATATCGTCGCGGCTAACCACACATCGATTCGCGGAGACGAGTCGCCAAGTCTCGTGGGAAACCGGAAGTCTGCCGGTGGTACGCCGTTCGATCGACAGCTACCGACAGTCTGTCTAGTTCTTACGATGGATCGTTTCGCTCCTACCATCGACACGTCGCGAGAATTTCGTCGATTTCTATGAAAGAAATATCGACGAAGTTTCGGCAACGAACAAACGCGAGAGTTTGTTTTGATTATTTTCTTTTATATTTCTTCCACTTCTCGAACGCTTTAAATGCAAATTGAGTTTCTTGCTTGTTTCCTCGGAGGACAGTGCGAAGCTATGACTAAATCCGTATAAAATTTCTATAATGTTACAGTTCGTACAAACGTTTGGATCGTAGTCTAGATCGCTAAGTGTATATCTGTACTATCAACGAAAACATCAATGTACGCAAGAAGTGGAGAGAAAAAAAAAAAAATTGCTATCTCTCGCGATGAAAACCGATCGAGATTCGAAGATCCGTTCACGAGGCTTCGATCGATCGTTTCCGTGGCTTTCCGGTCGTGATCATTCGCTTTCTTAAGATTAATTTTCCCACTTACGAACGAAACACTCTTTCAACATAGAACGATTACCTACAAACGTATTTTTTAATTTTTCTCGTCGACATTCAAGATACATTTCGTCTAATTCCGGTAAGAATTCCTTCTCGTACAGCTTAAATCTATAAAGTGATACACACAACTCGAAGATCGATTCGAAGCTCGTGAACGATCGAAGTGTCATCGTTCCATTCGTCTCTGGCCGTACCTTGGCTTCCTGTTCCGGTATCCGGCGAGGATCGCACGCGTTCGCTCGCTCAACTAATAAAAACTCGACAACATTGAACTATATCGAGAATTATCGCCTAGACTACAAAATTCCAACAACTAATTGGGCGCCTTCTATCGAAGAAACTAATGTGTACTAATACCAGGCGCCCTCCCCTTGACCTCACCGATGCCATCTTGGATCTCCTTCCCTTAATCATCGCTCGCGATCTTACAATTTACGGGCAGGATTTCCATTATTGATTATCTAATTTCCTAATTAGCTTTCTTTTCGCAAAGTGAGCCAAAAAATTAATTATTTCTGACTTGTTTGGAAAAAAACATGGAGGACCCATAGGAAAATATGTGGGTGCGGATTCTCCTATTTCGTGTTAAATAAATGATATTAAAATAATGAAGAAATCCGATGGAAACGTTGACGACTGCCCAAAGTCGCTAGAGACTGAATTGATTAATTGAAATTGCAACGACGGGAGGGAGATCCATGCGGCGAGATTGATCGGCACCACCCTCGTCCACCGTACTTGCATGAGAAAACTATATGTAATAAGAAAGAACACCATCGCGAGAAACGAAAAGTTTCCTCCCTTACCGCACACGCACGGCTCACGCAAGCAAGCAGGCAGGCAAACAAACAAGCGAGCAGGAAACGTGGTGGTGTGTCATCTTTTTTTTTTTACTTTTTAATCTTCTTCTTCACTTTCGCGCGCGCTCTCTATCTCGCGTTTCCTCTCTATTCTTGTCATTCGCACCTTTACTCATCGCAATAATTACGCGTGAAACGAAATTTTCCATGAAACTTCTCGACGGATCATCGCAGCCAGCTAACGAAAAGACCACGCGTCGACACAAGGATGGAGACACGAAACAGCACGAGAAACGGCGCACGCTCGATCTATAATATCGATCTACAATATCGATCCCGCGTCGAGGAGGCGACCAGTCTACGAACATCGTCTCGCGACTAATCGTCGATGGAATTTCCAATGAATTCCAGCTGCCTCGCGAAGCTCGACTAAAGCTTGCTCTCTTTTTTTTCTTCTTTTTTATTAAAAAAGAACCTGCGATCTAATATATATATATATTTTTTTTTTTCTAGGAATCCTGGGTACTATCACGCGTCCAGAATCGACTGTGATTCTTTTTTCTATAAAATTATAAAAGATCTGGATATACCTTCGTTCTCTTTCGATACGTGTACCCCCTCGACGAGCAAGAACACCAGCCGGAAGGGCGAACCGCTTCCGGTCTCAACCATCGCCGAACACAGAGTGCGCCGTTCGATCGTGGCGGTGTTCTTCATTAATAATTAATCTAACAACACGCTGCTGCTGCTGCTGCTGCTGTTTCTGGCTACTAAATACGACTTTAACTGGTTGTTGTTTGCGAGGTTTCCATTGTTCTCGCACAATCGTTCTCTTTGGAAGCGATCGCGCTACATCTAATTGTAAAATTAAAAAAAGAAAAACGAAAACGCGACTGTTTTCAGCGCGTTCTCCAACGCGAATACACACACAGAAAAGAAAAAATTATAATTATTTAGAACAAAGTAAAAGAGTGGTACAAAAAACAAGGTCGATACACGCTACGATTATTGAAAATCCATTAGCAGTAATAATATTAATAAGTAGTAGTAATCATAAGAGAATTAATGATAGTAATTACAATAGTAGTAGCGGTAGTGATAAACAAAGCATTTGACAAGCTGCAGAAATACAAATACGAAGGTACAAATAATTAGGGAACAGAAAAATCCATTTTCATCTCGGGACTCGTTCGAATCAACGCGATCCGTTCTCTGTGTATGTTACAATGAGAGATTGTGTCACGTGTGTGCATTGTGTGTATGTGTGTACACGTTTCTTTCTTTTTTTTTTATTATTTCTTTTTGTTCCATCACGAACAAGCTGCATACAAGCGCATTTATCAAGGACGACTTTTGATCGATTTTAAGTATCGTCAAATTATATTTATCAATCGCGTCACGAGATTTTTTTATTTTGCGCTCATTTTTTCTTTCTCTCTTTCACGCATCCACACTACACACTTATCTCTCGCTGTCACACTCTTCCGCGCGTTCTTTCAATCTCTTTCGCAATCGCGCCTGATCTTTTCCGTTTTATTCCAAATTATTTCCCTTCTTCGCGTATTATCACGTCGACAATTATCCTTACGCATTTCTCATACATTCTCTCGCTACTTTCTTCTTTCTCTCCCTCTCTCTTCCGATCTTTTCTGAACCTGATTCGTACGCACAAAAACACTGTTCCGCTTTGTCTCGTATGCTTCGATATTTATATATATGTATACGTATATATATAAAAATACAAAAAATAATTTACAAAATGATATTATAAGTATATTACACGCGAGTTTCATTTTTTGTTTCACACATTTGTTTTTTTTTTTCTTCGTTTGCTCTCGTTCGTGTGTCTATGTGTGTTATGTGTATGTGGTGTGTGCGAGTGCTTTCATCCCTCATTTCCTTTTCGAATTTATTGTTTCCGGTCGAAGAAACGACCTGAACCCACGAAAAATTGTTAAGAAACGATTCCTTCTTAATTTTCTCTTTCTTCACCCTGGTCTTTTTTGTTTATCATCTTTTAACTAAGCAACACACACTGAAAACGTGACACAGTTCTTCGCTCTCCTCTTCACGTTTTCTTTTTTTCACAATTTTTTCACAATTTTCTTCACAAAGTGGTTACCAAACCACTGTTATTATTAACAAAAATATATATATATGTATATGTATATTGTGTATATATATATATATATAATAATATAGCAGTATATATTATATTAATCTGGAGGCGCGATGCACGCTGGTATAATCAAATATCATACAAAAAAGAAAAACAACAATAATAAACTATAAAAAAGAAAAATGAAGACAAAAGGAGAAAAATAAAATTATTGAAAAAGGATCACCTTAAAAAAGACTAAAGAATATCTCGATCGTTATTCAACGATCGAGATATTCGTGGATCGATGGTAAGAAAGAAAAAAAATATATTCTTAACTTATGCGCACACGATTGCAAAAAAAAAAATAGGTAAAACGGTTCTCGTACAAAAATAAAGGAACAAAATCTAAAGCCAACAGAAAATACATCTCGATTACAATAATAACATTAACACTAATAATAGTAATAAAAAAGAAAAAAAAACACAGGAGAAGAAGTATAAAGGAAACAATGGTAGCGGGTGAAAAAAGGTACCTATATACAGATATACATATATAGGCGCACAGTGTCTCGCTGTTTCTTTTGCTCGCACACATATTTTATCCCTCTCGCCCTGTGCACTCTTTCTTTCACCCCTCGCGCACCCATACACCAGTCAAACCGCATTCACGAACAACGACATGTGTACACGTACAGAAACGTAAAAGACATGAAAATCGTCAGCGAATAGAATTGAAAAAAAAAAAAAGAAAAGAAAAATAATAATAGAACAACGCCGTGAAAGGGTGCAGAAACAAATATTTCTCACCCCTTCAAAATTTATGGAACAAACGAATCGAACTCACGCGGTCTGTCAGCCTCGTTTCCGGAAATTTCGTTTCTCCGCCTCGACCCATCAACTCAAAAAATTCACCCCCTCACACACACACACACACACGCGCGCACACATTCTTTCTCTCACTCTCAATAGGTATCTGATCGCTCTGCCGCTTCATTTATTTTTCTTTTTTCACCTCTTTCTCTTTTTCATCCCTCTTGCTACGTACGAAACGATGAAGACTGGGGCCTGGGGTGGGGTTTCGGAGAAGGGGCATTTCGTAACAGTTACATTTAGGATGCACTTACACGAGTAACATAGTTGCTTGTTTTGCAATTATTTTTTTCATTTTTTTTTTTTTTTTGCTTTTCGTCTGTTTACCATTTCGACACCGAGAGTGTGACTTGGGTGGGGTACAAAAAGGTTGGTTTTCTTTCTTTCTTTGTCTAGCGTAGATCTCTTCCTGTTCGTGTGTCAAGGGACGGCGTTCGAGCGAACTCTTCGCCACCCCTCGAGTCGCGGAATCGGGGATCGATCCGTCGATTTCCGCTTCTCGACAAGGTCGAAACGACGTTTCACCTCGTTCGTCTTGTTTCTGTCGTTTGGTACTATCGATCTTTCACCCCTTTTCCTTCTTTTTTCATTCATTGTCGCGGGGACGGGAAAATCGACGAATCAACCCCTTCTTTCGCCACGCTGTAACCGAGGTACAGCCCTATACGGTACGTGTGTGTATATATATAATATATATATAATATATATAATATATAATTATATGTATATAGTTTACATTCAGTAAGTAGTTAAAGTATTGAAAAATATATATGTAATTAATTACAAATCTAATGATCATCCTCTTGTTAATTCATTACTTGGTAGAATAATCGATAGGTTCATTTTTTTTTTTTTTTTGGGTCTTTCTTCTGTGTTCCTTCGTGTATGTCGTGTGTGTATGTATGTGTGTGTTGGCTTCGAGTGTGTCCGATACACAAAACGCATATTAATATTGTTCTCTTCCTTTTCAGCGTCGTTTTTATTTTGCTCTTCTGTTGCTCCTTTTTAGCGTGAAATGGCTTTCTCTTTTCAACTGTACCTGGAGATCGTGTGCCCGGTTCTCTCTTACTCTCATCTGGTTGCTCTCATTCACGCGTTTCTTCTGCTCACTTCCGCTCTGACACGCGTGCGCGACGATGCCGTTTTCCGTTCCCCTTGTTTTTCTCTCCATCCTTTCGATCGTTCACCAGCGAAAACGAACACTCGGAATTTATCTCCCTTTTTGCCGATTCAGCAACCATTTTCTCTACAATTTTCCCATAAGTTTCTTTTTATTTCATACGTGATCCTACTTTTTCCCCCCTTCCTCTTTAGATTCTTCGTAACGCGTATCAGAGCTGCGCACAACTTTCATCTGTCCATCCTTTTACCAATCATTCTCTCCCATAAATGTATGAATATAATATTATATCTAATATTGCAGTGTTCGGTTATCGCTATGACATTATTTACGTTACCACGATTACTTGTTTCTCCATTTACGGTTAAAGAGACAATATCGATCGCTATAGTTTATAGACACATGATACTTTAAAGAGACAGATTACCGTTGTTACGTCGTCACGTTATTTCATGTTATTATCTTATTATGTTCTTTTTTTTTTTTTGTTCATTTTCTTTTACTTCTTGTGTCGTGTACCCGAGTTACTTCGAACGGCGTGTATGTGTACGTGTACGTATGTGTGTGCCCGTGTAATTAAACCTTAACTTCCCGCCCTCGTCTTTTTCTGTTTTTTTCTTTTTTTCATTTTTTTGTTAACGAATACATCCATTACAGATTATGGAAAACTATGCGTAATTTCTTTTTTTTTTTCTGTTTGTTTCCTGGCTTACAAAGTGTTTCATTACAATCGTATTGTAATCGTATAATACTATATGTTTATCTTTTGTATATCTTCAATGTATGCTCTATCAATATATCCCTTTTTACATCCGTCTTTTCTCCCCTCCTTCCCGATTTCCATTTGAATCCCGCACCATTTTCTCTTCTGCTAAAAAGAGTATACATCGTATGTGTAAATGTTATGTGTGTGTGAGTGTGTGTGTGTATGTGTGTATTTGATTCTTCGCTGAGCTGAGCCTCTCGTCTCAAGCCGAGATCCACATTTGATTCGCAACTTATTGCAACGCTTGCCTCCTCTCTCTCTCTCTCTCTCTCTCTCTTTCAACCCTTTCCGGCATCATCGATTATCCCGGCCAGTCGCGACGCCTCGAGACGCAAGGACCACCATTCACGACGCGACAAATCGTCTCTAATAGGATCTTCTTCCGGTCGAACGGAGGATTTTTCAAAGAATTCCCGTACTCGAGAAACCCCTTTCTTTCGTTGGCGATTACAAAGATTAGAAAAATAATCGGCGCGAGGAGTTGTCTCTCCCTCTCCGATGCTCGTCCTTCTCGTCTCGAAGCTGTCCGCGATCGAATTCTCCATCGTTCACCGTCGCGAATGTTATATTTTATCGCGAGGTAATCAACGATGATCGATCTAACGATCTCGAAACTCCGACGGATGGACATTGGTTTCGTTTAAAATCAATCCACAAATTTCCCTAATCCTCTCGATCACTCTTTCGACTTCTCTTTCGCTCTCTACCTCTCCCTCACTTTCTCTCTTTCACGTGCTTTCCTCGCTCTCTCTCTCCCTCTCTTTCTCTCTTTAACAATAGCAGGTACTAGCATAGCTACCACAGTCGTACGTATCGTTAATAGTTACAATTAAGTTTAGATATTACTAAAGGGTACTGTTCCTCTCGTCTTCTCACCACTCGCCTCTATTCCATCGCGGATCTCACCCCCCCCTTTCTACTACCCTTATTAGTTCCGCAGTTTAAAAACTTGTTTAGCACCCCCCCACGCGACCGGAAACATCGTCTGCCGACTAGCTCGCTCGTCCACCAGATTAATTTCTAGGAAGTGACTGTTTAACATCGATCATTTATAATTAACATCGTTAGTAGACCGCAGTAAGAACAGTTTTTTTTTTTTTTTTTTTTGTAGAGGAAATATTCTTAGTACAAGTTCGATTAACAGGCTTAGATAAAAGTATCAATCACTTCTGGTGAAGAAATTCGCGTGTCCGTCGATCTTTCGCTCGCGATTCAGACGGGTACGACGGTCGATCGCGACCGACTGTACCGGAAGTTGCTCGTCGTTCGTATACAAAACGGGCTATATCAAAAATTCGTACGAAAAAACGATGAGAACGTCACGCTTCAAATGATACTACACGCTCGGCGCGTTTAGAAGTGACGCTAAGGTAAGAAACTAGTCTAAGGAGAAGAGGACTCGCGGCTGAACCGAGCCGATCGATCGACGAATGCCGAGTATTTCCTCGCTGTACAAGGCGGTGGTTTTTACTCGCAAGCCGGTCGACAGTTTCCTGTCACGCGTATTCCGTACGTTTGTCCCACGACGACAAGATTAAACACTGTTGTTTTTTTTTTTGTATTTTTCTTTTTTAATACTTTTAGCACCTAGTGCCCGGCCCGCGGCTCGCGGCACCTCCGCCATCGTTGCTGTCTACCGGATGTCCGTCTCGACGAATGGATACGATTCGAGAAGCCGAGGATCGAATAAAAAAAAAAAGAAAGAATTTAGAGATTAATCAGTGAAAACTGATCGCTTTTTCAGACGCGCGGAATTTCTTTTGAATTAAGTTCAAAATTAATTTCATTTGACTAAGAGGTAAAAAATTTGTTTCTAAATGAAATTCGTCCCATCATTGGCACTCCGCGAAGATCTCGTGAAACACAGCGGCACTTTCGAATATCCAAGGTATCGGAATCGTAGTTCGACCGTCGAGGACGGCAACGAAGGACTTAATAACGTAATCACCTAATTAATCTCGCGAACGGAAATCCCTGGCTGGTTGCGCGCTGCCCACGGCTAACCGCGACACCTTTGTTCGCCTAAGATGCCCTCGGCCCTTTGTTCTCGATCCCAACGATCTCCGAACGTTACCGAACTTTCGGCAGAATTGAAACTTACGACAGGGAAGTTTGGACAGCCGGCCACCTCTTCTCCAGAGCCAAGAGAGGATCGATGAGACAGCTAGAAATTAAAGCGAGCTGGAAAGCCCCGATAGCACGGAATTAGGAAAGTTCCTCGACTGCCGCGACCGGTTGTCACCAACTTCCACGACACGATGACTCTGGAGAACCCTGAAGAATCATTCGGACCCTCGCGTCGAAGGGAAATCGTGCAGTCCGATTCGTCGGGAGCAATTGTCGCGCAACTCAGCCGTATTTCTCGTTCGGCGCGAATATGCCGCCATTCGTTTCCTTTTCTACTCTCCTCTCCTTTGCTTTCTCTCTCTCTCTACGCTCTACTGCATTTATTATAAAAATAAAATGTAAAATCGTACCGAGGACGAGTTTTCCGAACGGTATGGAACCGCGAGCACCATCTGCGACTCGATCGACAATGAATCCTCCAAGGATTCTGCGCCCAGCGGCTGCGTGTCCCTTTCCTCGATCGTTGGAGAAAACACGGCGGACAGACAGACGTAACTGGGTCTTTTATTTCGTGTATCGATAGTCCTGGTCGTTCTCCGGTATATATATATATCGTATTTCGACGCGAACGAGACGAATGCACGAGCGGTCGTCAACGTTCCCGGCTAACGGCTGCTTTTCTCTTTCGTTCGTCGACGGATCGGCAGAGGCTACAAGTAGTCCCTAACCGTTTCGCGAGAACCCGCCAAGTGAGTGCATATCTTGAATATAATACATAGGCTCTACAGATATATTCATTATCAATTCTCCGACTATACCAGTGAAAAAATAAATTATTACGCGTTGGTAATATCTGTGTACGTGTTGGTGAAGTCGTGCGCGATAAAGTGTCCACCCGGTCCTGCTCGTGTATCCGATGATCGTCCATCAGCAGGGGGTGCGTGTTATGTACGTACGTTATGTATACAATGTGTGTCGCCAGGTAAATGGTGGGTGAGAGTGTGTCCGGTTGCGTGTGAAATCTGGGCTTGTGTGGAATTTTACGTACTTCGTGTGCACGTGTGTGTGTTTCTCTTGGCTGTTTTAGGTGTCCCAGGTGTGGGCGCGCGGCGTGTTCGTTCGACTTGTTACTCTGGAAACCGATACGTTGGTCCGTGTCATTCCCTCTCACTCTGTCTGTGCTCGTCTCGAGTGGCTGCTCTAGATTAACGTAACTGTAACGCAACAGGAGCAGCCATTATTTTTATTTTTATTTTTTTCTAATACCGTCGAACGGACGCCTAACGCCGTTGCAACGCCGGGTCCGTGTCGGTGGTTTTCAATGACGAACATTAGTATACACCGCGGCTCTACGTTAGTCGATCGCTCGTTCGTGTTCGCGAGTCCCGTCGCGTCAAAGTCCCTCCTCCTCTTCGTTCCGCCTCATGGCTCCTCTCTTAAACGTCTTGCAAGCACGCATCGGTACACAGGCGCACCCAACACACGGTCTTTCTCGCTCTCTCATTCGCTCTCCTCCCTGTTTTTCTCATCAACTCGCGTCGCGCGTCCACCTGGTGCAATTGCTCGTTCCTCTTCGCCGAAGTGAAGCTCCTCTTCCTCTCCGACGTTTCGCGTCGCTGGTGTGAATCGATGGACCGATTGAACACCACGAGAATCCTCTCTGGACGAAAGGGATCCTCCCGTACGAGTAAACGGGAGCGAACAAATCATCTAGACGAATGATTGGCGCATCGCCGGAGACGACGACGTCGATGATCGATCGCAGGGTGAAGGCTTGGGGCTACCGTGGCGACGACGATATTTGGTTAACTTCGGAGAGAGAGACAGAGTGGGAACTAATGGATGAGCAGGAATCGACGGCATCGTCAGCTACGCGCAAGAAACCTTCGGATCAGATGGTGCAAGCGGATCAGGTATGGTCAGGGTACGGAACCTAGACTCTGGACGATGTCTCGACGCTTGAGAGAGCGGAAGGAGGCCTCCGTCTCTCTTCTTCCTCCTGTCTGACGAAGCAACACCGAGGATGAGACGCGGCTCGAGCCGCGTTAGTCACTCGGTTTCCACTCGTTTGGGGTGTTAGTTGGCTACGAGCAGGTGCTGGTACTGGCTAGCAGGATACGGCGCGACGGAACCGAGGCCGAAGTTATTCAGACCTTCGACCAACGCGGTCTTGTCCTGTTGCTGACCGATGCCGTTCACGTTGCTGTTGGCCGCGGTGGAACCGACCGGACCGAGATTGCCGGCTGTCTGCGAATTACCGTTGCTTCCGGCCGCATTGCTGCTTCCGTTCACGGTGCCAGCGTAGAACTGATGACCGGTGATCGTGGTAGGATCGAGGTAGGACGACGGGAAATTGGCGCCCGTGTACAGATCGCCGGACAGGTAACCGCCGTGGCTGGACGAGTCGAAGATGTTGCGATGAGGGAACTGCGGATGATACGCGGTCGGACCGTGCTGGAAGAAGTACGCGCTCGGATCCGTGTGTTGTTGGCCAGCGCCGGCGACTATGCTTCCAGGAGACAGGCTACGGCTGCGGGGAGATCTTTGCGACACTGGTAACCCACCAGCGGCTGCTTGCTGTTGCTGCTGTTGTTGCTGTTGTTGTTGCTGCTGCTGCTGCTGTTGTTGGTGCTGCTGGTGATGATGGTGATGATGGATCTGTTGCTGCATGGCGCGCTGCTTAATGTAGTTCGAGAACTCGGTGGGAGACATTCTGAAAGCAACATGATTACGTGCGGTTCAATTGCTGCTTGTGGATGCTTTGCTTCTGTACTTGCGGTTAACGTTGCTTCGCGACTATGCTTGTTACGAGAATACACAGGGAAGTATGGGGTATGCGCGGTGGTAATTAAGCGCTTTATACAGCAGTTCAATTTGGGACATTCAGATGTAATAAGAGGAATCATGGAATCGCGCCATTCCCATAATTCTAGAAAGGAATCGATTACTAACCTGTTCGCCCGTTTGCTGCTGGTTTTCAGTTTGGTGCTGCCAAACTTGGTCTGGGCGAAGGTAGCGGTGGTGAAGGTGAGCGGGGCGGTGGTGCGTGGGATGAAAGCTGGCACAGGACTAGGCGAACCCTTGAACGAGCTGGTGATTGGTGTCGGCGAGGGTGCCGACGAGGAACCGGATCCGTGTCCGTTTTGCTGGTTGTTGGACGATCCGTTACTGGTGTTGCTGCCCAACGAGCTGGGGAACGGCGAGGTGGACTTGGGGCTCAGACTGAGCCCTCCGAGGGACGTGCCGACAGCCTCGATGGGCCTGAAGCACTGAGCCTCGGGATTGAAGGTCTTGGTCACCTCGCGATCGGCCGAGCTGTCGTCGTGAGGGTCCCCAGTTTCAGAGTAGAGGATCTTCACAGCGTTCATCTCGCCGATGCGATAGCTCACCTCGCCGGGGTCCACCCAGACGGCCAATTCCGCCGGAAGGTTCTCCAGGATGTCCTGGATCGGTACACCGCTCTCTTTCGCGGCTCGTTCCAGCACGGGATCCACCGGGTCGCCGGTTTTCAGGCATCTGAATGCGGATCCCTTGAACGGCTTCTCTGGGTACCAGTGACCCTTAAACTTGTCCTTTAGCGCTTTCTCCAGTTCCTCGCCGAAGATGTTCACCCGCCTACGAGGCAGTTTGTTGTAAAGGTACGATATCACGAAGTTGAGCGCCACCTGCACCTCGATGTGCATCTTGGCCTTTGCTGGGAGAATCTTCGGGCTGTTGCTGGACGTGGCAGCCGCGGAATATTATGCAGCACGTTCACACGATCGGCCGTCTTGCTGCAAACGCGTCGCTGTTACTCGACGATCAGCCACTCGACGACACCAGGGTCGACAGTGGCTCGGAACTTTGGCTACGGTGCTGCTCGTTCGTTAAACCCACCCTCTGATTGTTAAATCTGTAACATACAGGGAATTGCTTGTTAGATCTCTATTATCTTTAGCCAAGTTTCTTTTTAGATCTTCAGGGTAGAAGTGTAAACGGATCATATTATAATGTACCTCAAAATTTAATAAAATTTAATTAAATGCATATTGAAATAAATCATTGAAGAATCTTGATTACCTCGATCACCATTACACGAAAGAAGCTCTGGAGAACGTTTCAGATAAAAATTCGCGAGTCACGCGCAAAGGGGGAGAGTTATCATTGTTCGTTCAAGGGTTTTTGGCATCGAGTGCGAAATCGCATTAAAAGAGGGAACGCTTGGGGGCGAGTATCTTCGAAAGGTATTCGCTTTTACCGCGTTATCGGCTGCGCATTGAAACGGAACGCCGCTTCCGGTTACTCGAGACTGCCGTCTTTGGGCTTCAACCCCTCAAGGTGTGGAACCAGAGGCAATCGGTCTTCCCGTTTTCACGCGGTATAATAATGCCTTTCTCGGCTATCCTCTCTGCTCCCGACAAAGAAGCTCTTATCAAAACCCTCGCCCCTTTATACGACCTGTAATTCGTAGCTTCATTATACGCGATGCGAATTTTAATCTTGGACCTGTTACAAGGGATTAAAAGTGTTTTATTGGCTATGAGGTCGCGGCTACCGAATTTCAGTCTCATCGTCTTTTGTCGGCTGTTTCAAAGTGCACTTGGCATAAACATCGTTATTATCGTTATTTATGACACAGACCACTTACGATTAAGTTGCGACAATCAAAGAGCAACAGCGACTCATTTATCTCTTCAGGCATGAAAAGTAATATCTTTGATAGACTAAGAAGATTTACTTCATTTTTGAAGAGCGAAAAGTTTTCAGAGGACCAAATGGTAGATTCGAATTTTCTTTCAGCAAAGGAACTCTCTCGCAACTAAGTCATATCGCGAAGTCGGAAACTTTCTTCATACCGGGGAACTATTTGCAAACGTAAATTCATGCCAAAAATAATAACGCAAACGTTGTTGAAGTGCAACGAGTTCTGTCTAGACGATCAGCCATCTCATCAAAATCCACCGGCTTCCAAGTTTCGCAGCAAACTCGCCTGTATCCGAATCCAACAAAAATATCGAATGGAAACGGCAGCGTATCCCTCGCAAGATCCTGCATCCTTGGGATCCTCGTTTCCGCTCGGACGAGCGTATAAAAGTTTCCCGAAAATCGAGCGAAAGTGAAACTGCCCTTCTCGTCCAATTCGAAAAAAAGTGTCAGCGTCGAATTCTCGTGGAATATTCAGCTTCTCGCGCGATTACCGTGAAACGAACGTCAATAAAAAGGATTGGCCCCTTAGCGGTTCAGAGTGGCCATCTTCCACAACGGTTTCTCTCCTAGCAATTGCGGAAGTTGCTCTCCGAGCTCGAACGACATCGAGAGGGAAAGGCTTTTCTTTACTCTTCCAACCCCCTTTGTTCTTTTTCCTCGCCTCCGTGTTTCTCTTTCTATCTCACCCTTTACTCGCCTTTCCTTTATACCACCCCCGACCTATTCTTCTTCATCCCTCACCCTTCTATTTCGAACATCGTCTACGTTCTTCTCTCTTCGAGGAGATTCCGAGACGACCATCAAGCCTCTCGACTATGTCCTTCGAGAGTCCGTCTCTCGGAACTCAATTCCATCCTGACGCTATTTCTTCTTCTTTTTTTCCTTTCTTTCACCACAATCTTCTAAGAAAAGACCGGAGCAACGTAGGAAGGAGGCAACGAGTTTCCGAGCAGTCCACCGCAGGACCAGCAGCCATTTTGTAACGGGATACGAGAAGAACGTTCTTCCTGCCCCTTGTTCCTCTATCTCTCACCCTCTCCACGAAACATTGCGGCAGACAACAGGAGGCCACGGGTATTTTTCAATTACGCCACTGTTGGCTGCCTTTGCGGCTGTTTCGTGGTACACCCGCACCCTTGCCTCGCGGTTTCAGAATAAAAAATGTATTTATATCCTCGGATCATAGCCATTCTATTGCGAAATAAACAGCCCTAGATTTTTCGACGAGGTTGCTAAGATTTTCAGTGAACTTGTTGAAAATGTGAATTTTTCATTTGCTAATTCCTCCCAACAAAGTTATCGTACATCGTGGGAACGGATTTCGTAGCTAGGTTGACATTGACGTTAAAATTTATGCGAAGGATCTACACACGACTACACGCGTAAATTATCCAGCTACGATTTATGTAAGCCAGTGACACAATGCCCTGGACACCGTTTCCGTTTCCGCGCACGCTTTCGCGTTTCTGCACTTTTACCACGCGTTTCCCTCGGTAAGATAACATCTGCGCAATGGGTATAAATATTATCAGAGAAGAGAAACACCCTGGGTCGTAGTCAGGCTACGAAACTTCTCTCATTTTCCTGGCATATCAACCCGAAAGAAAAATGTTTTCGTTCGCTCGACGAGCACCTCGCCAGTCGTAGCTGGATATGTAGGTTAACCCCGCTGCACCCTTTCTGCCTCCAGTAGTACTACACTACGACGGGGTTGCCGGTGGTATTGATCCCGGCCAGGGTTGCCGGAAGGTTCTCAAGTTAAAAATACACGGCCTTGCGAGTCGAGTAACTGCGAAGCATCGTCGTGTTTTTGGATCTCTTTCACGCCATATTTTTCAACGATTCCACGGATGAGAAAGAACGCCGGGCGAAACAATTAAGGCGGCACGATAATCACGGAAATAGCCTATTAACCTAAATCTGGTCAATTTGTTATTTCACGATATTAGAGGGTTGGTAGTTTTCCTTCGAAATCATGCAAACCTATTTATCTAAGTTACTGATAAACTGTGATTTCCTATGTAATGTAAATTACTTCAAAGAAAGTGATAATATAATCTGTATTATGTATTAATATGCTTTGCCTACCCAGGAAAGTTTAGTTGGGATTATTTAATCTAAATCTGCTGCTAATTTACCTCGAACCAACACAGAATAAATGAACTTTTTTGTATACAGAAAATATCTATAATTAATTGAGTATTTTCTAAAGTGTCTCTGTTTAAAAGTCACTAAATGATGCAAGTCGTTAGGAAACATCATCAAACGCTTCTCAAATAGACTCGATACGAAGCTAATTAAGCGCTAAGTGCGGATACAAGGGAACTGAGTCTATAGATTGAAACTAGGTTCGAACTACGCTGAGCAGTTAATCTAAAAATAGGATTAAAATTGGAATCGTCTTAAAGTAGGTCGCAAGTTAGATCGTATCGAAACGGGCTAATAAGAACTTTGAAATAAATCCAACACTAAGTAGATCGCCTCTCCATGAGCAATTCATCCGACAGCCATAAAATTGTCAACAACGATACAAACATTCGAAATTGGATGAAATAGGGGGATCAAAGATGTTTTTACATTAGTCACTTGCAGCCCCTCTGCACAACTTGAACCACCCTCGAGAGGCGATCCAACGCTTTCCATGGCTGTCAACGAGCAAACCCACGGTGAAGGGTGACGCGATTCAAAGGGCAGCCTTTTTTTCCGGGCTTCGTGAAACCTTGGGGGGATGGGATCGTCAGGGTTGGCTGCAGGTGTGCGTAAAGATCTACGAGTGCGCCCTTTTCCAGTTACTGAATGGAGGCCACGTGGCTCAAAGGGCTGAATGTGGGCCAGACAAGTGTCCTTAGGTGAACCGGAGTCAATGGGGCAGTGATCTATGGTATCTAGGGGTTTTTTTTTTTAGGGTCGACTTATCAACTCGAGAAGGTCGGATTAGAAAGGACAAAAGGAAGTCTGATGATAATTATTGTTTGCTGTCGGTTTGTTGGCCGGTGTATCCTATGGACTCCCTTCGTTCGAGCTCAATGGCGTCGTTTCGATGGATGGTAATTGCGCATCCGTGCATGGGGGAATCGTGTCGAACGTTCCACGTGGCGATACGTCACTAGTGGATCGATTTTGGAAAGGCGAGGCCCCTGATGCCTTTCATGGACTTCCATTGAGCTTTCATGTTTCGCTGCGTTCGAATGGATCTTTGTGGGAGGATATTTTCTTCCACTTTGAAATAGATATATTGAATGATGAGAAGACGAGACCCTGTACTTTCATGAAACTTCATTGACTTGCATGTTTCTACGTATTCGGGGGATCAGAGGGATCTTGGAGTAATATTTCTTTCTTTATTCAGCAAATATCGTGTGCATAAATAAAATTATTTTAAGACAAGTTTACCTGATTGATGTAAGCGAAACGTAATGATCGCAAGCTTCTCGTATAATTTTAAGCACATAGAGACAGAGAGGAAGTTTTCAGATGGAAGTATTCGAACGAAGACACGAGTATGCAGCGAGGAAGCGGTGGAAAGTGGATTTAATTACGACTCGACCTAAATAGGGTCAAGACAGGGTGCTCGACCCGACCTAGTCGTCCCTGCCTTCCACCGTTTCAGTGGAAAGGTGTTTAAATCCAAATACAATGTTTTTCTTCGCATCTTCGACAGTTTCAGAAATTCGACAAGAATTTATCAATTTACTGTTTCCACTCTAAATCTAGATTTCAATTATTTCAGCGCCTCCTTTACAACCCCTAAACAACCAATATCGTTCTGTCAAATATTCCAACGTGATCTACAATTAGATTCAAAGGATGGAGAGGCGTTTGATTCCTCTGAAAGTCACCAGACGAGTTTCCGAGTCAACACCTGATGTGTCCTGAGAAAATTCAAGGCTGCCAAGCCACGCTCGGAGACCTTTGACGACGATTCATCGTCGAACTTGGGTACGGAAAGCATCGAAGCACTGGTCGACGAGTTAGCTCTGTTCTATCGCCTGCAACTGGCAACTCTCTGATTACTCTATTCTGACAATGAATAGATGTCGGCCGGGAGGAGGAAACCGTGCGGAATCGTGTTACGTAACCCAGGCCGGTTATACAACAAATCACCGTTGCTCACGTGCGCGAACCGCCTGTCATGGCGATGTTTTAAAGGTCGTACCAACATGTCGCATAAACAAACTTCTGCGCTTCGCTCCGCGACACGGATCG